CACCTAGGAGCCGGGCCTGCTGCCGGTGGCTTCCAGAGCGTAGCACAGTCTGCAGGGCCAGGCCAGGCAGGGAACTGCCTTCACCCTCCCCCCGCTGCTCACCTGACCCCCCTGCAGCAACGAGCCCCAGCGCCCGACAGCCCTGGGTCACGACCCCGAGTGTGAAAGCTCCTGGTCTAGCTCCTGCTCCCCTGCACGCACAGGGAAGACCCTCCCGCCGCTGAAGGAGTGGGTTCATTTTTAACCTCCCAGTGGGGGGACACGCCGGTATATTGGAAGAGGGATGCGCTACTGTCGTGTCAAATAAACCAAGCCACCTGCTCACTTCCTCACGCCCTTCCCTGAGGGCCTCCCTTCTGCCGACAATGGGTTCTGTGGTGCCTCGGGGACTGCCTTCAAGGCAGCGCTGCCACCGTCAACGCTGGCATTTTAGCCCATTGTGTGAGGCAAGCCGCCCCAAACAGCCTCCGCAGCACCCAGCAGGGTCTATACGGGACACTTTCAGCACAGCACCATCGTGTCCACACGGCCACAGGGGAGCGTCAGCCCTTGGGAACAGGATGGCATGAGGCCGGGGGACTTTCCCTCTCATTTTTTCCATCTATGCGCAGAATAAATGTTGTTTTGTGCACCGAGGCATGTGCAAATGTGCACCACCAATAGAAACGCATGCTACCAGCTGTGGGTGCTGTGGCAATTAGCTGGGCAGCACCTGAATCTCTCCCAGGCAGCCACCCAAGCGCTCGGCTGACAGGGAACACTGCCTCCCAGCGCCTGAGAGAGCGGGGCCCGGCAGAGCAAGTGGCAGAGGGGAGCCCAGGAGCTGCTGCTGGAGCCGCCCTCCGATGTCCCGGTGTTTTGCTGCCTTCCCACCACTGCCACCTAGACCAGGCTACAAGCCCGAATAAAATCACCCATGTTTCAGCACAGGGGACAGTTTGCAGCCCAAAAAGTCGCCTGTCACCAGTTCAAGGTGTTTTGTTACAGGGGCTTCAAAAACTAGCCCAGCTGGTGAAAAATCCCCTTTCTCTGCAGCGCCGCTTTACAGGCTGAGCTTCCCAGCCGGAGATCCTGGGCAGGGTCCTGCAAAGCTTGTTTCTTCTGCACGGCCAGTCGCAACTGGACACAGGAGAAGGTGCGAGCACCATAAGCACTGAGTGTGCCTGGCACCACGTGGTTTCAGGAGCAGAGGAGCTACGAAGATACCCTGCGTGGGGGGAAACAGCAGCTAAAAGCCCTGCCAGAGCTGAAACTCTTTGGGAATGTGGAAGCCAGCCTAAGAAAGCTGGAGGAATACTGTGCTCTACAGAACACCCCTCCCCCCCGCCCCAGGGCTCTCAGAGAGCCGGCTGTGAGCACAAATCTCTACGTCTGCTTTATTCCTCATTACTAAGACCATTTCAGCTTGTTGCATGTTGTGTATTTTCCGCAGAATCCCCTTTTAGGGCTTGATCCTGTAACCACGCAGGCTCCGTCTACCCTGGGAAGGTTTGGCGCCAAAGCGCTGTCGACGTGCAAAAGTCACCAAAAGTGAAAACCAGTTTTTCTGCCTCCCGTTGTCGACATTTCATGGCCACATGGGCTAGCACCCTGTGGATGGATAGAGCAGTGCATTGTGGGTGAGCATCCCACCGTGCAGTGCTGTAGGAAGGCTGAGCTGATCCCTTTGCTTCTTGGGATTCTCTCCAAGTTCTCCCACAGCCTCCTCAACTGCTGGGAGCCGCATCATGAGTAGCTCTGTGAGCTCTCCATGCTGAGGAATGACAAAGCAGCACAGCAGTCTCTCCAGCCCTCCCCCTGCAGCCAGCCTGCCGCTTTGTTCCTAGCCAGGCAGAACAGGAGCTTTCCAATAATCTGCTTTTTGTTTCCCCAAATGGAGCAGCTCACTCAGCTCTCAGACACTTCCCGGAGCTGCTTATGGGGAGGGACACATGCTTGCAGAGCAGCAGAGATCACAAAACACTGGGCATGACCATCAAGGCAGAACTGAAGCCATTGCATTGATGTAGAAACCCGCCAAGCTCAGCTGTACCTCAATGCTTTGGTGAAAACGGAGACTGTGTACATGCCGGGCTGCCTCGAATCTCTCACCATGAAGGCACCTTCCTTACCCTGAGCCAGGAGCAGAAGGAAGAAGGGGGGTTAGATACACCGTGTGGGGAGAAACAGGTTTCTTAGAGGTCACTTTACTCCACGCATGGCAGGGCCTCCAGGTGCTACTGCGATATAAGTGACTGATAATAATTCCCCCTTTGATCCACAAGGCCCTGAGGTTTGGAGCATGACTTTGGCCTGAGTTGCTCTGAACACTTCTTGCCCCTCCCTCCCGTCATTCATGATGGGGAGTGCTGGCCAAAAGTCGCCCACAAGCAAAGCCACTGGTTCAAAAGGCAGCTAACAGTCACTCAAGATAAACACTTCTCAGATACAACCCACAGTGCAGCCACACTGGCGTGAAAGACAGGAGAAATCAACTCCCTGAGCCACCTGTGGAGACGTCCTGTAGGAGTTTATAGGAAATCTTAAAAACAAAACCCCAGCACACACCGGTTTTTATTTCCACGCTTCAGAGCAGGATTAGAACCAGTCGGAAAATGGGGTTGGGTGTCATGCAGAGACTTCTGACCAACTATTTTTCCCCCTCTTTTCATTGACATTTACTTTGGTGAATGATCAGAAACTGAAAATTTCTGGCATTCAGCCAAAGCCTTTCAGTTTTGGGGCCTCGTGCGTTGTGATGAAACAGGAAACGTTTCTGTGGAAAGCAGGAACTGTTTACAGAAAAGCTTGTTTGTGGATCTCCCTGTTTTCCTTTTGCAAACAGATATGAATGAAAATTTTCAACTAGCCCTTGTTAGCTTGTAGTGTCTGTTTGGAAAGGGAAAGTGTTCTTACAAGCACTTCACAGAAGCAGGAAAGGTTTTGATATATGGACACATATTTGGGTCTTTCCTTATCCCCACAAGCTGGGTGAGAAATATAAGAACTTAGAATTCAGCTGTTTTATATTCCAGGCAAACCAGAAGCTCTTTTCCTCATTTGTCTTTATTTCAATGTCAGAGACAAGCCAGGTGAGGTAATGTCTTTTTTTGGACCAATTTCTGTTGGCGTAAGAGATGCATGCTGCCGAAGATGGTCTCATAGGAGATATTATCTCTCCTGCCTTGTCTCTCCAATAACCTGCGACCAAAACAGCTCCGACATTGCATATAGTAATGAAAAGGTATTCAGATGGCACCACACCAGTTCCATGGGGGACATTCTCTTTGGCCAGGTCTACACTGAAGGGGAAGGTTGAATCAAGACACGCAACTCCAGCTGGGTTAATTTCGTAGCTGGAGACGATGTACCTTGATTCGAGTTTCCCCACCGGCCCCACAGCAGGAGGCCGATGGGAGCAAACGCTCCTGTCAGCTTCCCTTACTTCTTACAGGAACAGGAGTACCAGCTACCGATGAAGGTGCCCTCTGAGTTTAGCTTAGTAGGTCTTTACTAGACCCGCTAAATGGAACTCCGGAAGATTGATTGTGGCAGCATCAATCTTCCCCGGAGTGAAGTCGTGACCTTTGTGATGCCTTTGTGGTGATATCCTGGATATGTCTGTGGACCTTTTCCAGAGGGGATATCACATTAACTCTTTCTGCATGGGCTATGTGGCATCCTGGTGGTGTAGCTAAGCCACTTCCCTTCCCACCAAGTGTAGGAAACTTGGAATAACAAAAAGGTGTTTAACACACAGAAAAGTGGGCAAACGTCTCATGTGAATGAGGAGCCTAAAGTCTTTACTGACACTAGCTTTAGGTTGCCAGCCGACTTTGGCAGGCAGCTGCATGTCACCCCACTGGGGATCTGCATCAGTGGGTTGTAGAACGGACTGTCTAAATTTCTCCTGCCAAGCTTTGCAATTACATCTCACTCCTGATCTGTAGACTGTGCCTTGCAATTCCAGTCCAGAGCCCAATGTAGAGCAGAAACTGTCCATCAAGCTCCGCTGTGGAGAGGCAAATGTTTTTTAGGGACTAACTCCAGACCAACAAACTCATCGACATTGGAGACGAGGAATCTAGACCTCTGGAGGCCAGACACGACTCCTTAACCTCTGGGTGTCACCTCGCTTCCTCCCTCAGGTACAGAATGCAAACCAGAGTCAAAAGCAGCCACATTCATTCCAAAAGCAACCCCGCTTACCTCATCTCTGAGGAGAGTTTCTGCTTTGCTGCGGCTGATACTCTTATTGTACCACCTGAAAGCATCAAAAAGACCCAGTCAGCAATTCCAAGCGGTGACCACTGTGGGATTTTTTTCCTCGCTGCCCCCAACTTTCTTTCGCCTCAAATAATTTCAGTAACGAAAATCTGAAAATGGAGGGAAAACTTTCCCGCAAAACAAAAATATTTGGTTTTGTGCAGCATTTGACTATGGATGAGAATTCCCATTTTAAAGCAGCCCTAGTTTTATTAGTAATAGTGACGTGTTACTGAGGTGAACAGGAGCTATCGCCCACATCAGGGGTATCAACTGAGACTGGTCAAGAATGCAGAGTAAGGAGAAAATGCTGCAGTTTCTTATTTTTGTGTGAATTCACAGGCCCTGAGTCTGCTGTCTTCTAACTAGTATGGTCATATACCTCTGTTTCGTGTGGTAATGTCAGTCATTACCAAAACAAGGATTGTAGTGACTATGAAATGTGCAGAATAGTGGAAAATCAGGCTCACTGAGGGTACAGCTACACTGCATGGCTATTTTGGGATTCTGGAGGGATCCCAAAATAGCTACCCCGCATCCTAACAAACCGCCTGTCATTTCGAAATAGTTTTCAAAATAACGGGCGCGCTATTTCGGCATCCCAGTAACCCTTGTTCTATGAGGGTTAAGGGATGTCTCAAAATAGCATGTTATTTTGAAATCTGGCACTGTGTAGATGCGCCAAATTTCAAAATAAACTATTTCGAAATCGATTTGAAATAAGATACGCAATTGGGGTAGCGCAAACTGCGTATCTTATTTCGAGTTTAGGGTGGTGTGTTGACGCACCCTGACTGAGTAGCAGTTGTAGTATTAACAATGTCTCATTCTTGTATAGTACTTCTCAGGCCCATACATGGGGGGGGGGTGCGAAGGGTGAAAATACACCCCCCACTATGGTCCCCCAAGTAAGCGTGCTCCAGCCAACAGGGGAAGGCAGGAGAGGTGCGCTGCCCGACCCTCCCTGCCCCAAGCTCTAGCTGGCCGGCAGAAGGCTGCGGTTGATCCCCCCCCCCACTTCCCTCAGGAGCAAGGCCGGGGGCCGAGCTGGGCCTCGCTTCTGGGTGGGGGAGCGGGGGAAATCAGTCCGAGCCTTCCCCAGGCTAGCCGGAGCATACTTACTAAGGGAAATATTGGGGGAGGGGGGTGCGTTTGCACCCTAGCAGTCCACATTTACAAAAAAAGCACCCTCTCTCCGAACTTCCTGCGTACGGTCCTGCTTCTCATCACTAGCTCTTTAATCACCTTACAAAGGAGGTCGGCATCAACGCCACGGGAGCTTTCAAGGCACAAGAAACAAGTTCGAGCTACTTACTCGTTCATTTGGAGGTTGTCTGGTGATTTTTGCACCACGTAACTGCTTGGTACGTATCCTTCGTGACTGTTAAAAGGAGACGAGAGATTGTCATCAGAAAGTAGATGTAGTGTCATCTGTGCAAACTGTAGCCTGTAGGAGGCCTCACTCCAGGCTCTGTGGAAAAGCTTGTGGTTTTGTTTGTTTGTTTGTTTGTTTTTCATGGACGCCAGAGACAATGAATTTAATGTCTGGGGAGCTAACGGAGCCTATTTCCTCGATCCCAGCCACAAAGGAGTGTTCTGGAGGGTCTGTGAGTGAAAGAGGTGTACTTAGGGCACAGTGGAGGCATGTCTATACTCAGAAATGATTTTGGAATAACTAAATTCGAAAGAATAACTCCCGAAATAACAAAATTGAACTAGCGGGTTCAAACTCAGGGAAGCCTCGCAATTAGTCTGGGGCAGGCTCCGTTAATGTGGATGTGCTACCTCGGACTTACAGCCCCAGGAAGCACTGGGAAGTAATAAGTTCAAATTACTCCGCGGAATAGTTATCTGGCAGCTCCGGAGCATCCACACTACCATTATTTCAAAATAACGATTTTGAAATAAGTGGTATTCTCTGAGAAAAGCAGGAATACAGATTTTGAAATACCCAGCCTGTTTTTTCGAAATACAGGCAGTCCCCGGGTTACATAGATCCGACTTACATCGGATCCCTACTTACAAATGGGGTGAGGCAACCCCGCACTAGCTGCTTCCCCCCAGCAGACCAGGGAGACGCGAAGCTAGCGCCCCCCCTAACAGACCAGGGAGACGCGGAGCGGCTTTTCTCAGCAGACACCTCAGCTTGAGAATAAAGGACTGAGGGAAGTGAGGTGTGGGAGAATAAAACTGAGCTCTGGAGAAATGTTTGGCTAGAGTTTCCCCTACAATATGTACCAGTTCCGACTTACATACAAATTCAACTTAAGAACAAACCTACAGTCCCTATCTTGTACGTAACCCGGGGACTGCCTGTAACAGGCTTGGTAGTGTGGATGCTCCGCTTACTATTTTGAAATAACTCCCTAGTGTAGACAAGAGCTTAGAGTTGTTTGAGAAATCTTTCAGCAAAACATTGGTTCGCTGGGAAATACCAACTCGTTGAAACAGAAACCATTTATAGGAAAGGGTCGTTTTTTCCCCATTTTTAAAACTATTTGTCAGGAGTTTCGAAACTGTCAAAAGAATTTTGATAAAGAAAACAAGTTCTGGCGTTGGGTTGGAGCAACTCTGAGTTGCAAATGTCATTGAATTGAATGAAAAAATAGGGAAATGTTTTGGCGCCATCGGCACAAAACTATGCAACTCGTCTTATCTTTGTGGTTGTTGTTTATAAACATTTTTGAGCTTTTGAC